GGATGGTGCCCAGAGTTTTGGCTTGAAGTTTGGAAATAACATTATCCGGGATGCTTGTTCTAAGTGTCGTCGTTAACAATGGTAACTTTTACAGGGGTGTGCCTCCTGTCCAGTACCGTACCAAGTGCTTTGCATATTAGTCCTCAGCAGGCCTGGAAAGTAGGTTCTATTAGGCCCATGGTACAGGTAAGAAGACTAAAGCACAGAAAGATAAACTTTCCATAGGCCACAAGGCAGGTCAGTGGCAGACTGGGGATTCAAAGTTGGGCAGTCTGATTTTAAAATTTGTTTATTTATAGAGTGGGGAAGGGGCACTTTATATTTGTTTATTTATAGAGAGGGAGAGACACCAAGCAGGCTCCATGCTCAGTGGAGAGACTGATGCGGGGCTTGCCCCCATGACATGAGATCAAGACCTGAGCCGAAGTCAAGGCTCGGACACCCACTTAACTGAGCCACGTAGGTGCCCCTTGGTAGTCTGAATCACTGTCCCCCAGGCCCTACTCCACACTGCTTCTCTGTGCATGAGTACACACATTCTGTTTTCGAAAGCGGTCTTGAATTTATTTATTGCTGAAGCTCAAGCTGACTTTTGAAACTCTGCTGTTTAGGTTAACATTCACCCATGGCCCAAACAGTTCAGCCTCACTTTTACACCAGGTCAAGATGGCCTGCCTGCTTTGGGAGAGCTGATCCAAATCCAAACCCAGGGCAGTTTCACAAACTCTTTATCATCTTCCTGTGCTGATCTTTAATCTACAGGGAAGCAGAACATAAATGGAATGTGAAATTCACTATTAGTACAACTGTTAGTTTTGAATTCAGCATCTAAAGGAGTAGTAATAATGATAAAATACCTATAGCATTGGCAGTCATGTCATGATCTGTTCCAGGCCTCTTGTCGGTGCTTTACATAATACTGTCTTAATTAATCTTTTCAAAAATCTAAAGAAATGCTATTCCCTCCCCGCCCCATGAGAAAACTGAGGCTCAGAGAAGTTACATAATTGGTTCAAGGTTATAGCATGTCAGTGACAGAATCAGGATTTGAATCCATGTCTTACTTTGCTGATGTTCTTCTGTTCTAAACATTATCTCCTGCATCAATAATGAACTTGCTGATGAAGTGTACTGTTACCAAAGGAACATGTCCCGGGCATGTCAGAGATGGATGCTTTGCTGTGCTTTAGGTGGTAGAATTACATTAACATTCTCCGGGGTTGACCATCAAAAATTTCTCTTTTTTTTTTTTTTTTCTTAAATTTTAAAGTGATCCTTATCTTACAGTTTCAATTTTGAAACACTAATGGAAAATTCCTACAGAAAGTTTAGACTAACCTTTATAAGAAGTGCTTAATAACTTGGGTTCTTTTTCTCCAAGTATTGCTTAGGGGTTAGTTGCAGATGGGATAAACCGTCCCAGCTAAACAGAGTGGGGGATATAATGAAATGTATTTGATGGCTTATAAAACCACTGGAAGGGCTAGAAGAGGAGTCTGAGCTTCCGGAATACTCTGGTTGTCTGGAACCCAGTTAAATCCACCACTGTCTGTAAAACTGTTACAGCTAATGCAGGAAGCTCTTACTGCTACTGATGGCAGGGAGTTTCTGCCCGCATTACCACCCAGGGGAGCAAAATGCATGCCCAACACCCAGCTTCTTTTCTCAAGAATTTCCTTCCCACATCAGTCTTGCAGAGTTGTGCCTGATTGCCAGAACCTAAGTCACATCTGCAATTGTAACTGACTACAAAGGAATGGAAGTTTTGCAGCCACCACAGTGTAGGAGAATATGCTAGGAGAGAGATGGAGTAGGAATTGAAAGAGCCAATCCATAGTATCCTCGACGCTCACTACTCCTACACTGTTCATTACATTTAGCTTTCCTTTTTTCAAGTTGCTCTAAATCCAGAGCATCTAATATGTAGCCCTTGAACCAAATGTAAACTCATTTACCTTTTTAGACCTTTTTGTTTTCTGTAATGATATAGCACCCATGAGCTAGTACAGCCTAAAATAGCATGTCTCAGATTTTAAAGAATACCTAAAAATCACATGGAGGGCTTGTTATAAGTGCACATCTTTGTGATGCACCCTCAGAAATTTTGATTCTGTATGATGCTTAGGAATCTGAAATCTTCATAAACACCCCGGATGATTACATTTTCTTCTAAAGGTAAGACAACCAATTCCCCCTCTCCCCCCAACGCTGTTTCCGGTTAGGGCACCTTCAGTGAAAGCAGGTAACAGTTGAACAGTTTATTCAACTCAACCAAAGCAGTTGGTGTATCTAGCACACGTTGCATAATCAGGAATGCTTATGCCGTGACCTTTGCAAACTGGGCTTATCATCTGATGTGATGGAGAAAATGATCAAGATTGTGAGTGTTCTTTGAGTTTATGCCTTTAACTCCCACTGGTTTTGATGCTGTTGGAAGCAGTTAAAGCAGAGTATAAAGATTTGGTTTATTTTAATGTGGTAAAAAAAAAAAAAAAAAAAAGCCCAGGTGAGAAGACCTTCAGAGATTTTCTGAGCTGCTTCCTCAGATTAAGTTCTTAAAAATTAAAAGATTAAAAGTCCCTTAGAGACCCAACTTGTAAGACTCCTGGTAGCTGATCTGACAACACATCTGAGCCCATTTAATTGCAACCATAGGACAAAACAAAACACAAGAAGTTCTATAGGGGAGTCATTCAGTCCAAATTCAGCACATGGGATCAGATAGCAGCTGGAATCTGCATTCATTTTCCATCTCTCAGTTGTTGGGAGTGCAAAAGATTTTACAAGTTTTCAAAAAGTGCAGAGCTTTTGATTTACATGCGATCCCACTTTCAGAAGTGAGTCACATAGTTGAGAGAGTATAAATTACAATTTGCATTTTTGTAGCTGTTTGTTGGAAAGCTACGACACTGGGAGTGCATATTGTGGTTTAATTTTAAGAGCAGCTAATTGACATAATAGTGAACAAGGTCCTGTGCCTGTGGAGTGTTTGAAGGTGAATATCTGAATTTCAAAACTGCCCTAAATTTTTTTTTTATGTTCCTATACTTTTGCCAATTTGGGGGCCTGTCTCTTATTTCTTTGAAAATGTATACTTACATCAAAAAAAAAAAAATCTGGCAACAAATATGTACATCTAGGTTCAACATTAAACTAGCACCTAGCAATTTTCTAGCATAGTTTGGCTTGTTACATATCATCCTCATAAAATTGATTAGAATTAGTCATCAACCAGCATTTCCCTAAAATACGGCAGATTATACTGCTTGGGGGAATTCTTTCCTTCTGTTTTTATATAACTGCTGTATTTATGAATAGCTAATGACTTACATTACCATTGTTTCTAATGACGTAATGTCTACTGCTGGCACAAATGCTTCTGCCTTGTACATGTCTATTCCAAAATAGTAATAGCAAAATTTGAACACCTAGGCCCTAGATTCTAGCCTGAGGTAGAAGTTCTTTGCAGGGATTTCCACAGTGGCCAAGCCTCGCAGCTCACCTGGCTGTCATGGACCACAGGGGAGTTGTTCCCAGGCACAGACCCTTTAAGAAAGAAGAAAGCATAGCGCATCATTACGGCTCCACTCTTTCCAAGCTGTCTTTGCTTCTACCCAGACTAAAGTGAACTCTCTAGCCTTTCCAGATTACCTGTTCTCCTTCCTTTTCAAGCTGTTGTAGTATATTGCCTTGAAATTTCCCCCTGGCTCATTTACCACTGTGGTTTGATTCCTAGCTCTGTCACTCCGTGGAAACTATCCTTAGCAGCGTCAACCCCATTAGGTATTTTTCAGCAACCATCAGGTTGACCTCTTTCAGTGCCTGTTTTATTGCTCACACTTGCCCTCTTGTGCTTTCTTTTTACAGTGATTGCAGATCCCACAATCAACAGACTTGCCTCTCGTGCTCCGCTTCTCATTCTCTCCTCTCCTATGCAGACAGTTCTTCTCCCCCTTAGAGGGGTTATCCCCCAAGGTTTTCGGTGATAACTTCCAGTAATCTCCAGCTACCACTTCTCCTACATATCCTGGCTCAGTGAATAGCTCTACTTTTTACCCCGTCACCTAAACTGGAACTGGAGGTCATTTGTGACTCCTCCTCCTTTTATCCCACACACTTTCCGCCCATCACCCAAGTCCCATTCAACTTCATATCCTCTTGAACTCGTCCATTTCCGTTTCTCTTCACTCCCACTGCGTCTGTCCTAGTTGATGACTTCAGTGACCTCCACAAGCCCCAGTCTATCCTTCATTCTGATGCCTGATAAGCCTTTCTAAAATCAGATCTTGATCCTCCCCTGCTCTAAGATAAAGAGCTCCCCATGTCTCTAAGATAAAATCCACACCAGTTAGCAAAATTGGGAGGACCTCTGCCTATCTCTCTAGCTTCCTCTGTTTTATTATTCCTTGAAATTCATTTTCCAGTCATGTCATCAATGTGAAGTTCTATGAAAATGCCCTGTTTTCTCAATTCTATGGGCACTTCCTACTTCCTCTGCCAGGTGTCTTCACCCCTGCTTTCTTTGATCTGGCTACCTGCTATTCACCCCTGAAGAAGGGGTCATCTCCCAGGAGCTATCTCTGAGCCTCTCCTTCAGTTCCCCCAAAGTCAGGTTTAGCTGTCCCTCCTGGGCCAAAGAAGACATCTGCTGTGTCTTTATCTTACATACCTATCAGGTACGCCATACGTTTTTTTAAATGTTTGTTTATTTTTGAAAGAGAACACAAGAGGGAGAGGGGCAGAGAGAAAGGGAGACGCAGAATGTGAAGCAGGCTCCAGGCTCTGAGCTGTCAGCATAGAGCCCATCGCGGGGCTTGAACTCCAGAACCATGAGATCATGACCTGAGCCAAAGCCAGACGCTTAACCAACTGAACCACCCAGGCACTCCCATACATGTTTGTTAAATGAATAGGTAGCTCTTAGAAGTCTGAAAGCACTTAATTTTGTTTTTATCAGAAGGAACAACTTATCACTTTGTTTTTTTTTCCCCTCCCTCTAGCTATGCAATTTTTTAAAAACCTACAGTGAAGTGTAACTTGATTTACCTGTGCTACTTGTTTACCCAGCCTAGTAATAATTTGATATGGTGGCTTCAATCAAAAACTGATTCAGCTAAATGGACCTATACGCCATCCACAGCGTAGGTATTTTCGAAAAAATTGAATAGTTCATTAAATATAAATGAAATCAGTTTTATTATGTGACTAGCCCAGGATTTTCCTTCCTAGTATAGTGTAGATACTGGTTTAAACCCAGCTCAGAGGTTTACTAGCAGAGTGGCCATAAACAAGTTACTTAATCCCACTGAAGCATGTTTTACTAACCTGTAAAATCTGATTGGTGGGAAGGTTATATGTAATATTTGCAAACTGTTCCTCCTGTGTGTGGCCCTTAGTAGAAGTCTATACATGTGAGTCATTTCCTCTTTAAATAGCATTTACCTTTAGAGTAAGGACTATCAACAGTGACTTTTCTCATTTTTTTCCATATATTGAATCCACTGAAATTCTCAAATTCCCTGTTTATATTAAAGCCATTGTTTGTCTTTTCATATTAAAAAATTCATTTCTAGGTTGTTCAGTTTTTGTTAGTAGAGCATATTAACATGTTTTAGCGATCACCAATACTTTAGGATCTTTTTTAGTGTTTTTTTAATTTTGAGAGACTGCAAGCGGTGAAGGGGCAAAGAGACGGGAACAGGGGACTGGAAATGGGCTCTGTGCTTGACAGCAGCTAGCCCATGTGGGGCTTGAACTCCCAGAACTATGAGATCATGACTTGAGCCGAGGTCAGACACTCAACCGACTGAGCCACCCAGGTGTCCCTAGAGTATTTTTATTTCACTTCTTCACAAAAGCATCTGCATGGAGAGATATGGAAGTAGATCTTTACAAGATTCTAGTGCACCAATCTGGACTTGAAGCTGGCTTGAGTTTCACTTAGCTACCCTGTTAACATCTGCTTTCCTGAGAGGCTTGTGCTAAGTGTTTACTTTGCCCCTTGAGCTTACTGGATGATTACTAGAGAAGAATTTGTGTAGGATGATTCGGTATTTTCTCTAGAATGTTTAGTGGTATATTACTTAAAGATTAGAAATCAAGGGGCACCTGGGTGGCTCAGTCGTTTAAGTGTCCAACTTCAGCTCAGGTCTTGATCTCATAGTTCGTGAGTTCAAGCCCCAGGTCGGCTCTGTGCTGACAGCTGGGAGCCTGGAGCCCGCATCAGATTTTGTGTCTCCCTCTCTCTCTGCCCCTCCCCTACTCATGCTCTGTCTCTCAAAAATATACATGAAAAAAAACTTTTTTTAAATCTGAAGGAAGAAGTTCTGTAGCATTAAATGATTATTCACCGAACCAGAGTGTGTTGGTAGTTTACATTACGATTATTTTTGAAGGATATGGTTCATATGACCTCGAAAGACCTGAACTCAGGACTAATTACTATACCTGTATCTTGGTAACTTGTATTCCTGGCTCTGGGTAGCTAAGCCAGTTGGCTTGTTTCCAAAGCACATTTGGGCTACAAGGGAACTGCCTGCTTCGCTAGCTGGCATTCCAGATTAAAGAGAAGATGAATGTTGTTTTTGGCAGCAGCTGCTGTTTTGTTCGGGGCAGACCCAATACCACTTTGTAGGTCTGTGCACAAAGAAAACGAGCTACGCAGACACCGCACTACCTTTTTGACTTTGAGAAGTCTGTAACGTGGGCCCTGGCAACACTTATTTTAAAATCGCTTCTCAAGTTCATAGAAAAGTTTGCGGGATTTTTTTTTTTTTTCTTTAAGTTTAGAAGCTAGGAATCTTCTGATTTCTCAAACAGCATATGTTCCCCTGATGTTCTTGGGCTGTAATCATGTTAGTTTCTACCAAAGGAAAGAAGTTTGCAAAGCGACTTCTGTGTCATAACACATGTTCAGATCAAGTAAATAGTTTGCTTTAGGGGGATTTTGCAGCTCCTTTTCCTGGCATGTGGCTTTTTATTGTAAGGAAGGTTCTTATGTTCAGGAAGAATTAACGAGCAGATGAATGTCCCACTGGGATCTACTGAGACTGGTTCTCAACAAAAATAAGACATCGGTCTCAGGTCTTCAGGGTCTCTGGCCTCTTCCTGCAACTTTCCCCCTCTTCTTCAAAGGATCTTTTCAGTATGATCTGCCACTATAAAAACTCCCCAGAAAAAGATCTGCTTTTCTGTCATTCATAATTAAGTATGAATGTTAATTCCCTATATTTCCCTCTACCAGAACTATTTCTATTGTATGGCTTAGTTCTAACAGTACATACGGATTTCTCATTTTTTTTTAATCATGTAAATAATTTCAAGGCAACTATTAGCAATGAAAGGGTTATTGGAATTCTGCGTGATGTGGGGAGTATGTGGGGGACACTTTTGACGCATGCCTCCAAATAAAAAATCTAGAACTGCTGACAATAAGATTAGTTTAATGTGTCTGTGCAATGAAAGGTTATCATGAAATGAGAGGTTATCACATAATGAGCGTGACCTAGAGAGAAAAGTTGTAGGATGCTAAAACAAAGTAGCCAAAGAAAAATGTCGTACGCAGAAGCAGAGAATGTTACAGGAAAAACAAAACAAAAAACAAAACAAAAAACCAGTGAGATGACTGCCCAAAGTGAAAAGATACATTTTAGAGCAGAAGTCACAAACACAGGGACATTTTGCTTCAGCATTCTATCTCCAATAGGGTGTGTGTGTGTGTGCGTGCACGCCCCCACATTTAGGTACCCCTGTACCTTTGTTAGGGTTTCCAGAAATTAGAGAAAGAGGAAGAGTGTGAAACCGAAGATGGGGAAATACCTCACTTAATTGGAAGTGCAGCGTTAACTGAAGCTACTCTCAACACAGTTGAGAACTAAGAAATACATTGAAAAACACATGTGAAACCAGTACTGGTGTCAAAATATCCATACCAAAGGTCCTATTCTTTGTTCATGAAAGATTGACTATGTAAAGTCCTTTCCCTGAGTGTTCAGTTTGAAGCCCTTCTTTCCCTGGTTTCCTTGACTATCTAAAACCTACAAACCACACAGCAAATAATTGCACAGCACCTGTAGTTGGAAAAGTTTTTATTTGATCCCCTCACCATCGCTCCATGAAGTGCGTGAGACAAAAATTATTGTCCTCTTATACACTACAGACATTTGGAAGAATTAACTGGCTTACTTGAGGTCACACGGTAAAGGAGTTGAGAGGTTTTCTGGATTCATGTTCTGTTCTCTGCCATCACACCACCAGTTTTCAAAAGCATGTGTTTTTTGTGTGTGTGTGTGTTTTTTTTTCTCTCTCTCTTACCCTTGGAAACCTTTGTTTAAACAAAATCTTACCCAGAAGCATGAACAAATAAAGCAGGAAAAAAGCTGAGCTGCTTTGCTTAAAGCAGGGGTTGGGGGCCCAGAATACTGACAGAGGCAGTTTATTTTCCTTACCAGAAAAGCTTGGGCATTGCAACACTATACCATTCATGCATTGATTCATTCAAAAAGTGAGTTTCTTAAGCTCTGATTTTTTTTTTCTGTTGCTGCTATAACAAATTATCACAAACTTAGCCACTTAAAACTATACAAACTTATTATGTCACAGTTCTGTAGATTCAGAAATCCAAACTTGGTGGACTTACTGAGCTAAAATCAAGGTTTCAGGGCCACTATGTTCCTTCCTGAAGGTTCTGAGGTCGACTTTGTTCCTTGCTCTTTCAGCTTCTAGAAGCCACTGGTATTCTTTGACTCCTGGCCCATTTCCAGAAATGGCAAGTAAAGTCCTTACCATGTCACATCTTCTGCCTCTTCCTTTATTGTGGTTCTCTCACCAGAGCTGGAAAACATTCTTAGTTTGTGAGGAGCTGTAGCACTCTCTTGGACCCAGAAGATATGGCGTAGGCTCTCCATCTCAAGGTTCCTAGTTTAATCACATCTGTAAAGTCCATTCTGCCATACAAAGCAAAAAATTCACAAGCTCCAAGAATTAGGGCATGGCCATCTTTTTGCCAGAGTTCTGACTACCATAGGCACCCACTGTGGTCCATGTGTTGTGTTTTGCCATTGAGACTGCAGGAGGCTAGAAACAGGCATACTAGCAGTAAACTATGTTGCAAGTAATGACTGACAGACTGGGAGAAACTGGTAAACTGGGAAGCCAGCCGACAAAAACTAAAATAACATTTTAAAAACAGTCATTCAGTCAAATACAGTAATTTGGAGCTACTTAGGCAAAGGTCGTCACAACTGCATACCTGGAATGTTTTTTCCCCTCACCTTTATTGAGGTATAACTGACAAAAATCGTATATATTTAAGGTGTACAATGTGATGGCTTTGATATAAGCATACATCATGAAATGACAGCAAACTATCCCCTCATAGTTTTCCTTTACAATATAGTATTAACTACAGTCCCCTTACTGTACATTAGATCTGCAGAATTTACTCATTTTATAACTGGAAAGTTTGTATCCTTTGATCTAGATATCCCCCAGTCTCTGATAACCACCACTCTATTTTACTCTGTTACCATTATTATTTTCTTTCTTAGATTCTGCACGTAAGTGAGATCATATCATATTTGTCTATGTCTGGCTTATTTCACTTAGTCTCTCTTTTATTTGATGAACCTGAATCATCAAAAAAAAGTAAAGCTTAGTACTTCTTCCCACCGTTTAAGAAGTCAAGGAAGTGCGTGTACTATATGTTAGAAAAATGTCTGTATTCTCTATAGAATAATACTGAAAAATTACTTTTCCATACAAAGAAATAGGCTTTGCATTTCAGCGCTCTCACGAGAACACTGATGAGGGACATTTCTCTATGATTTCTTCTCTATTGTAATGTCTAGTTTTGCCAGAGTGAACTGTTGAATTTAACAAAAGGTGACTATTCCTTACTACTAGCTAAGTATATACAAAGTTAAATTACAACATAAGTTTATTTAACAGCTTTAAAATAAAGTGCTTCAAGAAATACAAGTTTGTCAGAGATGTGTGAATGTATTAACAGATTTAATTTTAGCCCTGACCAAATAGGCTTTTGCTCATTTTATAGGAATCTATCTTCACTGGTATTTGTATATAACTGATGCAGAAAAAAATATTTTGACGCTGCCTTGGTGACATTATTTTGCAATTGTTATAGAAGTCTGTATTAGTATATTTTTAAAAACTAATAGAACATATTAAAAATTATGGTAATCTGAAAAACAGTATTCAACTGACATGGATTATGGAACATGCTTGTCTTGATATGCTCAATATTTTAAAAATGATGACCGTTTTAGAACTGTGCTATTTGGAATTCTCACCAATGATGTGACAGCTTTGTGGGAGTACTGTGACAGTATTGGGTGGTGAAGAGCACAGGATTTAGAATTGTGGACAGACCTGGGTTTTTACCACTTAGAAGTCACCAAATCTCTCTGTAGCTCAATTTCTCCATCATTAGAATTAGAATATATGAAACTTGAAGTTTGTTTATGATCAGATATACAAAATGCTTGGCACTCATAGAGGGTAGCTGTCATTCACCGTATTGTTGGAAAATCACCCACATCTGCACTCACATTTTCGGACATTCTGTCTGATAGCACTGGTAAACTGTACGTACTCTTACGTGAGGCCAGCCCCCGTGCTTGACGCCTCGATCTCCCCGCTTCTTGCCTTCTCAAGAACATCGCTCCAGCAATTAGTTGCCTCTCTTCTGACCTACGTCGCCCAGTTGCACCTTCCTGCTGGATCAGCCCCAGGGGCATACACACTTCCCAGTGCTCCTACCAACTTGCAGAGAAAACTCTCCCCTCCCTCAAGCCCTTGCCAATTACTACCCCACTTGTTTTTATTTATTCGTTTGCTTGTTGGCTCCCCTTTGAAGGACAGCTCTTTAAAAGAGCTGTCTACATTCACTGTTTCTAATTACTCCCTCATGTTCTCTGAAACCCACACCCCACTGGCTTTTTCCTGCACCTGCCTCAGTAAAACCGTTTTTGATAATGTCACCAGTGACCTGAACTCTGCCAAATCCAGTGGTCAGTGCTCAGTTCTCATCTTACTTGACCTGTTATGAGTATTTGACGTAGTTCGACCTCATTCTCCTTAACCTAACTTTTCTTTTTTTAAACTCAGCTTCCTCCTACTCCTTTGGCTTCTCCCTGAGATTCTTTTGTGCTTTCTAAATCTTCTGCCAGACCTTTTACAGTTAGAGCACTGTAGGACCCAGTCCTTTGTTCTTTTTTTTCCCATTTGTACTTATTCCCTGGATGGACTCAGCCACTCTTTGCTTAAAATTCCATTTATACATCAGAGGCTGTCATTTATGTATCTAGCCCAAACTTACCTCCTAAACCCACATTCAAATATCATGACCTGGTATCATCAGTAAGATATCTCAAAGACATTTCAAACTTCACACGCTCAAAATTCGACTCCTAATCTGACCTCCAGACCTTCCCCACCATCAGCCTTCCCACTTCAGTTGATGGTAGTACCATCTTTTCATTTGCTCAAGCCAGAATCCTTGGGGTCACCTTTGACTCTTTCAAATCACACTCCAGCTATCAGGAAATCTTATTGGCTGAGCCCGCAGGAGACATCCAGAATCAAACCAATTCTGGTCAGAGCATTGCTACAGCCCTTTCTTGCTTGGGTGATAACGATAGCCCTTAAGTGGTCTGTTTCTTCTACCTATTGCTACCCTAAAGTTTGTTCTCACCACAGTGAAGTGATTTTTTTTAATGACTTTTTTTTCTTTCTTTGAACAGTTTGAGGTTCACAGCAAAATTGAGAGGAAAGTACAGAGATTTCCCATATGCTCCCTGCCCCTACACATGCACAGAGTGGTATGTTTATTACAACTGATAAACCTGCATTGACACCTCTTAATCATAGTTCATGTTAGGGTTCAGTCTTAATGTTGCATTCTGTGAGTTTGGACAAATGTACAGTGGCCAATATCTACCATTATAGTGTCATACGGAGTATTTCCACTACCCTAAAAATCCTGTGTTCCACCTATTCATCCCTCCCCCTACAATCTCTGGCAACCGCTGATCCTTTTACTGTTTCCATAGTTTTGCCTTTTCCAGAACGTCCTAATAGTTGGAATCATACAGTATGTAGGTAGCCTCTTTGGATTGGCTTCCTTCATTTAATAATATAAAGTTTTCTCCATGTTTTTTCATGGCTGGATAGCTCATTTCTTTTTAATGATTAATGATTAATATTAATTAATATTTTAATAAAAATATACGATTGATATGCCACAGTTTATCCACCTGCTGAAGAATATCCTGGTTGCTTTCAGGAAATCATTTGCACAATTTAGTCTTCATTTCAATCCAAGGGAGACAGTGCTATGAACAGAATGACCCCTCAGTGTTCAAAGTAGCCTTAACCAAACTTAAACAGGATTACTGCTAGAATAGGTCACGATGCTAAAACAATGAAAAGGCTTAGGTTTTGTTTACAAGCCACTCTTATCTATGTAGGTAGTGTTGTACTCTCAGAAATTTTGTAAATGCTGATGTTCACTTGGTCCAGTGTGACACCTAGTTAGTGTGCAGATATTAGTTGAAAATAATCCAGTGTTTTTAAAAAGTACCTGGCTAGCTACATAAATAGGAAAGGTTTCTAGTCATGTGCACATGGACTTTGTGTAATTGTAAGATGCCATAGACAAATGTTAACTCCTAAAAGATTACCGTCACATTTTAAAATGTCTTCAGACATCCATGCCTTTGCTCATGCTGTTTATTTTTCCTGGAATGCGTGTCCCTTCTTTGTCCACTCTTCCAAGCTCCTCCTTGTCCTCCAAAAGCCAGCCAGAGTCCCATTTTTTTTTTTCTGGCTTTTCTTGGCACTGTCTTCCTGCCAAGGGGTTCTCCTCCTTTAAGGTTAATTGATTAATTGCTTCCTTCTTTGTGTTCTCAAAGCATTTGTCATAGAGTGTGTGTGTTCTTTATGCACCTGCCTCTGAGTTTCAAGGGCATCTTCATCACCTTTGTTTCTCTAGTGACTGGCACAGTCCCTGTTTCATAATATGTGCTCAATAAATTGGATTTGAATTTGAAGCATTAGACAGTTTTTACTTTGGTCACTGATTCATCCAGCCAATATTTACATAAAGAGCTCTTAATGTGCAAGGTGCTGTGTTGTGTGTTATAAGGATAAAAAAAATAAAAAAAATAAGAGAATCGGGTGCCCAGGTTCTTAAAAACCTAGAATCTAGTGTAGTAAGAAAAAATAAGTCCTGCATAAAAGTAACTACAAAACATGGTGGGATTTTCAAGGAGAAGTGTGTGTGAGCGCACATGTGGTGTGTGTGTGTGTGTGTGTGTGTGTGTGTGTGTGTGTGTGTGAGAGAGAGAGAGAGAGAGAGAGAGAGAGAGAGAGAGATCATGCTAGGGTTCAGGAATGTCTTCCTCTTCACTAAGGAAATGTTTTTCCTTATTAAGTGGTTTAAAAGCTATGATTAAAAACGATGATTCTTTTGATGTCTCTTAAATGAGGTTAAATTCTGTCCCAGATCTAAAACTACATCTCTCTCCCTCACTTGGAGTACTATCATATACTATCGGATTTAAAGCACTGCTCAGGGGTTGCTGCTACTTGCCAAACAGTCTACACTTAAAGTATAGAAAGCCTTTTTTGGTGCCTTAAGGTATGAATTTCATACATTCCTAGTTTAAAAAAGAAAACACCTTTAGTGGTAGATACTTTATAAGTTGCTACATGTTCATTCCTAATTGCCATTAGGAAATTGGCCTTAGAAAGCTTTTGACAAGAGTTAACAATAATGTCATTGAAATGAAAATCCAAACCACATTTTAACAGACAATTTTTTAAAAATTTGGTCAGCATATTTTGAACACTCAGCATTTAAGTTATATTTAAGGCAGTAGTTTTTTGTTTTTTTGTTTGTTTGTTTAATATAGATTGTCCTTTCCACCTTAAAGTATAAGATGCAATCGTTTGAGTGATTACAGTTTTTCACTGGTCATCACCAGCAGTTTTTCTGTTTTCATCTAGACTTGGATTGTCACTTGCATTTATCTTCAGCTGCTCCTATTTAACCCTCTGGTCAAAACTAAAGGGCTCTGCAGGAACCGTGTGACTGATGATGTGAAAGACGTTACAAAATTGGTAAGTAAGGAATGCTTTCGATAGCTGTGAATTTTTGTTTCTTGTGGTTTTTGAAAAAGACTTCATTTTTTTCCTGTCCCAAGTTAGTATTTTTCTAAGACAAGGAGAGAAATCCTGGAGTTATTCTGAAGGGTTTATAGAGAGCAGGTAGGGAGATATTTAAGGTCATGGAGAATCTGTGGGTAAAATTGGTACATCACTGCGGTGACTTTGTTTCTTTGCTCATTTTTTCATCTCCATCACAGGCAGTGAAGGACACCGAAGAGTTCTCTTTGTGCTGATGTGGCAGCACCAGCTTGTTCCCCATTTTCTCTTTTGTGGGTTCCACAGTGTGTCTTATCCCCCTCCACATGCCTTCCTACTATTCTCTAACAGCCTAACAAAAAAGATCTGAGATGGCCATTCTCCCCTTTCCAACAACACAAAGACCCTGTCACATGTGGGTGGGTGGGTGGGTGACCCGTGTGAGAACATAGCTGGAGGAGTGGTTTGTTACCCAAATGTTGAACGACTTCTCTCCCACATTTACCACATTGGAACTCTTCTCTCAGCAAAAGCAATCTTACACTGGTGCCCCTTGGTCACTGCCAGTTTCATGCCACCATTCTCTTAAAATGCACACCACAGAGAGGGAGATAATACAGCATCTGGAATGGATTCTTCCCAACTCTCCTGATGTAGGGGAGATTTTATGTGCCCACTTGAGCGGCAGTATGTGATTTCAGGATGAACAAACTTTGAGAAGCGTTTTTCACAAATTCCTGGTTCAAAATAGCCAAGTGGCATTCTGTTACTTGAAAACTGTCTAGAGAACAGAGATGATACAAGAATAAGGAAGAGATAAGGGTTGTGATATGGAGAAAAGAAAGTGCTATTTGTTGAGATACTTCCCTACTCTTTATATGCGTTTCCTGGTTTATATTTTATTTGGGGTTCATAGCCAAACTTCAAAAAAAAAAGTTTAATACTAGGGTCAGAGTCTTTCTGGCTTAGGCTCAATGCAGAATTAATAACACACACACACACACACACGCAATTTATGTGGATTCCTTAGAAAGATGCCCTGGGGTCCAGGCTTAAAAAGTATTCTCTGATGCAATACCTGAAGATATATCAACACACTTTATTCAAGGGGCTGGTGATCAAAGCAGTGCACCATTTTCCTGCTATCTGCCCTGCTAGATATTGGGTATAAAGATGTGGTAAGGAAAGTTGATTTTGTTTTTTAAAGAACATAGAGCATGGACCTATTCCTCAAGTTACTTGTTAATTTGTGATCCAAGAAACTACACTAAAAAGAAAATATATGCTTATATTCTAAATTTTATATCAACAGAAGGCACTCATTAAATGTTTGTTTAGTGAATGAAGACCTGATGAGTTTTGCTGTGATAAGCATCGTGATCACCTGTGGTGCTTATTAAAATTACAGGTATCTGGGCAGCACTCCAAAAAACTGATACAATGATCAGTCTGAGGAAGGGCTCCAGGCGTCTATATTTTAAAGAAATTTCTGAAAGATTTAAGAACTCCTGTCCTAGATGATCTGTTCAGTCAACATTTGGAAACCAAAGTGTCTTGATCCTAGTATGTCCCAATTCTTACTATGACTAGCTTTATCTGTGTTACGTGAATTTATATGGATGTCAGATTAACATGAGTCTCAAAAACATGCTTAAAGTAGTTCATAGCTGGGAAATTACAGTTCTCCTGGGGATGCTGGTATGACCGTGGAGCTGGGGATGAGCAATGGAGACCTGCAGTGGTCTTAAGGGGCAAATGTCAAGTATATTGGCAATGAATCAAAGTTGGAAGATGATTGTATATTTGACCATAGGCCACGCACGTCCGAGATTAACGTGGTATTCAAGGAAAATTACTAAGCATTATTACTTGCTAAGTGTTTAAGGAATACTACTCACTAAGCACTACTTCCTGTGAAATGTCAAACTAGTATTTTGAAGTGGCCTAAGTAGGTGTTATGAGCACCTTCCAGGATTTTCCATCCTTGTCTTAATTTTTTTTTTCAATGTTTATTTATTTTTGGGACAGAGAGAGACAGAGCATGAACGGGGGAGGGGCAGAGAGAGAGGGAGACACAGAATCGGAAACAGGCTCCAGGCTCCAGGCTCCGAGCCATCAGCCCAGAGCCCGACGCGGGGCTCGAACTCACGGACCGCGAGATCGTGACCTGGCTGAAGTCGGACACTTAACCGACTGCGCCACCCAGGCGCCCCTTTTTTAAATTTTTTTTTTTCAACGTTTATTTATTTTTGGGACAGAGAGCATCCTTGTCTTTAAACATATGCTTATTCTCCGTCTGTTACCTGTCAGGTGATACAATGAAAAATGGCAAGAAGCATTACTGAGAAAAGTACCTGGAAAAGGGATAACTTGTTAATGTTGACACTAAAATATAGTTCCTCACCCCAAGGGCAAATGTGAAATCCTAAGACTGAAAAAAGGTGTTTGTTTTGTTTTGTTTTGTTTTGTTTTGTTTTTAACCCCTTCCAGCAACTGACTTGGGAAATATTTTAATTTCAAGAGTTGATTTAGTGAAATTAGTGTGTTTACTTTGGATTAATGAAAGAAATCAAGTTAATAAAAACTTGGACTCAGGTTACTCCTAAGTACAGATTGACATGATTCACAGCCCATATTTCCTAGAGTAGGAAGTAGAAAAATAATCCTTGACCTCAAAATGTTCATAATCTAGTTTGGGAGAGAAATCATCTCCATAAAAATATGAATACATATCATTAATACCAGAATAATAAGACATGCATGGATGCCATTTAAAAGATTTCGTGGTAGGAACACCTGGCTGATTCAGTAGCGTGTGAGACTCTTGATCTGGGGGTTGTGAGTTCAAGCCCCATGTCGGGTATAGAGATTAGCTAAAAATAAAATCTAAATAGATATAATTTATTTTGTGATGTACCAACCTGTGCTGATATATTGGTTAAGGAATGGATTTTGGAATTGGTGGTAGACCTGAATTTTTTTTTAAAAGTTTGTTTTGTTTATTTATTTAGAGTGTGTGTGTGTGTGTCAGAGTGAGCAAGGAGGGGAGGGGCAGAGAGAGAGCATCCCAAACAGGCTTCATGCTGTCAGTGTGGAGCCCGACACTGGGCTCCATCTCAGGAATCGTGATATCATGACCTGAGCTAAAATCAAGAGTCAGCCCCTTAACCGACTGAGCCACCCAGACGCCGTGGTAGACCTGAATTTAAATCCCAGTTTTTTGACCTTAGATGAGTAACTAACTACCTTTCTAAATCTCAGTTTCTATTTCCCAATTTTGTCTTATAGATTAAATAAGAGAGAACGTATGTACAGATTTTTAAATAGAGTTATTGTCAGATAACTTCTTTGGGCCTCAGTTTCCTCATCAGTATTAAGATTAATAGTACTTCACAGAGTGATTTTTAAGGATTGAATCAATTAGTAGAACAGTGTTAGGAACACAGCAAGCACCTGCTAAATATTAGCTATTAGTGGTAGCTATTAGCTATTAGTGGTAGTTGTGGTGTTGTGGGATCATAGGATACTGGAGCTGAAAGAGAATTTAAGAGATAATCTAGACAAACTGTTTCATAAATAAAGAAACTGAGACCCAGGAGCAGGGAAGCACAGCTCCTGGCCCCATTTACCAGTGATGTGCCTTCTACAACATTGATTTTCAAACTGGCTCCTAGAGCCTGCTCAGCCACTCTGCTTTTGTGTATCTGGACTCCCAAATAAGACTTGATTTTAAAAAAAAAAAAAAAAAAAAAAAAAAAAAAAATTGAGCTTCTGAAAAAAATGTTGGAAAGTCACTGCTGTAAACCAGCATTTGTAGGATATCATCTGAGAATCATTCAATCGTACTTTTTTAGGGTACTTATTGAAAGTACAGCTATCAGAGCTCTACTGCAGAAATACGGAGTCTCAGCTGGTGGAGATGGGGTGTAGGAACGGTAATGTTGCCAAGTAGCAGCCTAGATGATAGGGTGCCAGGACTGCTGAAGCCATAATACTTGTTAAGGTTGGGTTTTTTTCATCTTTGGGCAGGGGGAGAAAGTGTTCTCATCCTTACTCATGAATTTCACTAATTCAGACAGCAACATGAGTGACTTCAGAGTTGTATGGATACAGATAATCACAGCCTCACTCTAAAGTAGAGTGGGGCGGAGCATCTTGAAGTCAGGCGTACTGGCTTGTTTAAGCGTCAGCTCTGCTGTTACTTTGCTGTGTGATCTTGGACAAATAAATCCGGGATTCAATTTCTGGATTTTAAAACGAGGAACAAGGACATGATCAGTAGTTCTGAGTCTAGGATTCATAAACTTCGAACTCTTACAAGTGGAGCTCCAGACTGTGCCTCTGTACGCTTTATGCACATTTCTGGGAACAGGGTATATAGTTTTAATTTCCCAGAGAAGCCTGTGATACCCCTCCGCGCAAAGAGAAGCACTACAAATCTTCTTGGAAGCCCTTTTCAGCTCTGCATTTCTTTCATTTCATAATGATACTTTGTGCGGTTGTACCTTTCAGAATAATTCAGTAATGCCTGGACTCCAGGAGGTTGCATAGAACAAGAGGTAATTGTTCTGCAGGCATAACCTTGGTATACTCTATTTGGGAGAAATAAAGTAGGTTGACAGTACCTTTTTACCTTTGCTCACAGTAATTTCTTTTGACTGAACTCATTTCTTCACAGTCTCTACCGATTCTGCCTCGGCATTAGGTGGCAACTTGCACTGGGGCCCACCAACCTGAAGTCTGTTTGCTTGGGGTGATTCTCATGTCACAGAAGCACATGATTTACGACCTTAATGTCATCTTTTTTTTTTTTTATTTCTTCTTGGATCCTTTGTGCTGTCCCTACAGTCCCTATGGTTTTCATTTGAAATCCTTCTGGCATGTTTGCTCAGCATAATAGTTCATCTATTTACAGAACATTTTGCTTTGTTTCTAAAAAATGTTGCAAGACTTGTTTTAAATGGCAAACTCAGACC